ATTATCCACTCCCTTAAAAGTTGTTTTGTAAAGTGAGAAATCTGGTCATTGTAGACACCACACATATTATGCAGTGGCGTTGGTCTGAACCCCTTGGCTAAGGCTTTTTCAGGACCCTACACCCAGGAGAAAAGCCTCGCGTGCTTTGGCGTTTTTAACGTTTTAAGGGAGTATTTTGATAGGTTTAGTGCTCCTTAAAAAAGTGCCACCACTTGGCCAATGTATAAGGCCAAACAATATACCCCAGGGCACTTTAAGGTCAGGCCCACTGGTTTTAGCCAGTAAAAGCCCACAGCTGTTACGCTCCTGCATAAATGCAAAAAAAGAACGATAGGCTATAGAGAACACTGCAGTTCTTAAAGCGCGTTTTGTATGCATTGTATGCATTAACATTATATTAACGTTATATTGACATTGACAAACACATAACAAATACCGATATACTTTTAAATAGTATAATACATACTCCAAGTATCGAAATGCACGCCAACGTGTAGGGATTCAATATTTCGACATTAATTATGTCATCATCAGGAAATCACTTTCACGTAGAAAGGTTGCTCAATCGATCCATCGACGCACCTTTCTATTTCACTGCATGTGCATGCGACTATTTTGGTCCTCATAAAATTTGGCCGTAACAAGAAGACTACGACACACTACTGAGTTTTAATCACATGCATGCATACTAGAGCTGTCCTTGGAGATGGAAGTAGACTGGATAGAAATCTATTTGCATCTGGAACTGCACACCAAACACTACAGCACTCGAGAGGTCTATAACTTGTCATCACATTCTCGTTATGTCTCAGTCTCCTCCATGCAGCTTTGCATGATCTTGAACAATACCAATCAAATTGACAACTGACCCTCTTCTCCGCAATATTTCTCTTGAAATCTGTAAGTTACCAGAAATTTCGTTTATCTCCACTTCACCAATTTCTTGCATGGTATTGCTCATCTCATCCAACTTTACTTATGGTGATGGATATGTTTTTCTCAGCCTCGGATTCTCTGTCAGTAATGCATGTATTCAAATATTTCGGCTCTGGTATCCAGCAGTGGTTTTTTTTTTCGTTGGAGCTACACATTTAATTGAACAGTTGGTCACATGGTCATCATTAGACTGAAGCTACGCCTCCTGTTTTGCTATTTGAATGCAACAATGTATGGTGGTATAATCTGCATAATCTCATAATATTATGGCCACTTCTGAACACTGTCGTCTGCATGAACAATTTGAAAATAGGCCTACTGCACCCCATAAACTAAACGCGGCATTAAAAACAAGTTCTAGGTTCTATATTGCCTAGTGCTGAGGCCCTTATTTCATGTAAATGCAACGAAAGCATAGTTTATATAACAATTTCCCATGATATAGACCCTAACACATTTTAGCCTAATTTTGGACCAAGCTTCCTCTTCGCTGTACAATAGTGTACAGTTGTGTGTGTGATGTAAGTTAGCTGGAGTTGTCAAATAAATAGCTTAGGAAGTAGTGAGAAGGATCTTGAAGATAAGCCTCTTGTCAATGGTCAGCCACTGGAGGTCATTGAGTATCAGGGTTTATGTGAATTCGAGCTGCTGTGTTCTGTATCCGCTATTTGGCGAGTTCAGGCCTCAGTAATCCATAAAAGAGACAACCCCCTCCCCCTTTTTTTGGCTATTTTTTGTCCAAGCATCTCTTCGCTGTACAATTGAAATGGGGACTTGGATGAAGGTTCAATATTTTAAACAATTGTTTGAAAAGTAACTGTTGGGTACGTCAGACCATATTCATGACATTCTCAATAATGTTACAATCAATGTTCTTTTATATTGTTTTTTGTTTTCAGTAATCATCCGAACGACAGAACACCATATCATTACTATGCTGATTCAAAGCAAGAGTGTTCATACTATTATAAAAGTGAAAAGAGAACTTTGTCTGGCCATAAATTTTTAACAGAAAGGGCGATTGTTGCTCGATGGGCGAAGAAATTTAATATAATGTTCCATTATCCATCGTGGGAACCAGTAACTACGAACGGTACTCATGTTGCGACACCGTTTATAAAACTGTACAATGAAGCTAAAAGAAGCAGGAAACTTCGGAGACTGACATTAGCCGAAATGAGAAGGCAGCAATCAGCCGCCTTACGTAGTCACGATATCGTTGCTCTGATTGATTTTGTTGAGAGTAATCGCAGACTTATTAACCATCTTCTACCCGACCGCTTCTAAGCTGAGCCAATTTTCGTTTCAGCTGTTATCCTATCTATTAGCTTTTTCCCCTTGTCATCAACATACATTTTTGTTCTGACTAATTCTTAAGGTCTGGTCTTCTGGACTTTCGTTCAGTTACTACATTTGCCTCGGTTGTAGGTTTATCATTTTCAGCTTCAGACCTGTAATTTTTAATGGCATGCTTCCTTTCGTTACTACAACGGCATCATCGTTGTATTTTCCTGAACAATTAACTGAGCCTTCCGGTTTTCCACTGATATTCTATTTCAAACGC